TCAGTGAGTCGGAGAGCCTTATTGCGTCACCAAACTGGCGCTGGACACCACCTGTGACGATGTCTCCTCTCGCCTATCCTCCGTCGGGCTTGACAAACTGGAGTGCCGGTGTCTGAGGAATCGGCACGGCTCGTACGCCTCCATCCATGTGTCCGTTGCTGCCGAGGATTTTGAGAAACTCGCTCACCCTGCCGTGTGGCCTAAATCCTGCCCCTTTAAACCTTTCAGAGGCGCCCTTCGACAAGCCCTTCTCCATGTCTCAAAGGGCGCCCCGACGACCGAACAAAGGTGATGAGTCACGTTGGTTTAGTTAATCAAAACGTCCGCGGCTCATGCACAAAAGGACGAATGTTGTTTTTTCTTTGTTTTTTTTTTGCTTTTTTTATAACGCTATCCTATCCAGTTATTCTATATTCTGTGTTACGAAAACTTGGTTATGCTGTGACATTGGGTCCTCCGATTACTTTCCATTTTTATTTGTGGTGCACCGGCGTGACCGCGACTTGGCCACGCGTGATACAACTGGAGGCGGCGTGTTAGCGGCCGTTGACGGGCGTTTTCGCTCGGAAAGACGCGAAGATGTAGAAACGTTTCCCGAGAGTTTATGGGTAGAAATCAAGTGTGCAAAGAAAGTACGCCTTTTTATTGGCCTTGTTTACCTGCCTCCGCAAACGACGCCCGACGACCTTCGCATGTGTCTCAATGGCATGGAGAACACCTTTAACGAAGTACACGGGCGTGATGTCTTAATCTTAGGCGATTTGAAAGCTCCAGGCACCAACTGGACCCAGTTTAATGTTTCGACTGACAAATTTCATGGCAAGCAGAAAGACAATGACATCCTAAACTTTGTTTCTTTTATAGATCTTGCACAGCACAACGTTATTCTTAACCACCAAGGTGATGCTTTAGATTTGTGTCTCTCAAACATGGATTGCGTGCGTGTAGCCCGAGGTGAAGTCCCTATGGTTCCTTTGGTTAAGTATCATCCAGTCCTTGACTTGGTGCTTTCTTTTGATGATTCCTCGGTTTGCGCTCCTGTTGAGGCTTCTCTACCACGCATCTTATACAATTTTCCATCAGGAGACTACATCGGGATGCTCCCCCACCTATCGAGTGTTGATTGGTCCAAGGTTTTAGAATCCTCTGATGCATATTAGCAGCTCTCTTTGCGAGATTAATTGGAGAGGCCATCAACAGATTTATCCCTTTAAGTTCTTTAAAGATATCTCGCTTTCCTAATTGCTTTTCTAATGAACTAAGAATGCTACTAAAAAGGAAAGACTTCTTACACAGAAAGTTCAAGAAAGGTGGTCTCCCAACGTGGGAGGTAGAACTCAAGAGTTGCAGGAAGAAATGTATGATAATGTTAAACCGTGACCGCTTGGCGTATCGTGCGTCAGTGAAACCTGACCTTGTCAAAAACCGTAAGAAATTTTGAAGGTACACTAAATCACGTTTCGTGAAGGATATTGTATCGAAAATGTTTTTGGATAACCATAAAAGAGTTGGGGAGTGCGTGCCTAAGCTGTTTGCAGATCATTTTAGTTCAGCCTACAAAGACAGTACCGTATGCTCCTACGTCAAGCTGGCTCACTCGAATTAATTCGGTGACCTACTAAGTTACATTAATGTCGACAAGGAATGTGTAGAGCTAGGTAGTAAAAAAAATGAAAGCCACGCTGTCTGTGGGACACGATGGAATACCATCTGCAATTGGCAAAACATTTCATGATATAGTCACACCTACACCATGTGCAATATTTAACAACTCATTAAGGTGAGGAATATTCCCTGAAAGGTAGAAAATTGCCGTGGTCGTTCCGGTTCTAAGGTCGGGAAAGGAAGGTGATGTTCTCAACTACAGAGCAATTTCCCTACTCTGTTTATTTTCCAAACTTTTTGAAACAGCCATTCATCAATTCTTGTCTTTCAAATTTAGAAACTTAACCCTCGCTGATTAGCATGGGTTTATGACCGCAGATTAACGACTACAAATTTTGTAAGTTTTATGTCTGCCGCATCTTAGGTAGCCTGCAACGGAGGTCAGCTAGACGGGGTTTCTTTTGACCTAAGCAAGGCATTTGACGGTGTAAATGATATGATCCTATTATCAAAGCTTTCAGCCTACGGGGATTGTGGCAGAGTATACGACTGGTCTCAAAGCTATTTGTCAAACAGGAAAGCGTACGTTCGACACAACATTATGAACTCTTCATTGTATAGGACAAGTTCTGGCGTTCCTCAGGGGTCCGTCCTAGGTCAACTCCTGTTCACAATTTTTGTATATGACGTCTCTGACCCTATTTCTAATTCTTTGTTCTTGCAATAGGCTGATGACATTAAAACTTTCAAAGAAATAGTTAGTTGAGATGACTGCGTTAGGATTCAGGAAGATAAATATTTTTTCTTTAGGAGGTGGTCAGCCAATAAATAATCTTCCCTTAAACCGTGCTAAAACCAGGGTTATGAGATTTACTCAGAAGGCACAGAATACATTTTTTTCGCATATAGTATTCATGGTGAACCCCTGTCCCGGGTATGTGCAATGGAAGATCTGGGAGTAATGTTCGATCCCAGCCTGCGATTCTCTAGTCCCGCAACATAGGTTCGTTAACTCGTCTCTGCGCACGCTGGCTGTTTCCTCTCGCTTAATGAATAACTTCAAGCATCCTTCTGCGTTTCTCACGTGGTACCGCTTGTTATGCGTGCCCCAGTTAGAATATACCTCAGTTGTGTGAAACGGAATCTCTAAAACTAACTCATTCCAAATCGAACGAGTTCAGGAAAAGTTTATTTCCATTTTTAAACATCGCTACCTTATGACGGATGTTCATTGTTCAACTTCCGACGCAGCGTTAGAGCGTGTTGACTTGTTAAGCATGCAGCGGTGTCGTCAGAAGCCGGACCTATTGTTTTGGTTTAAAACATTGCACGGTTCGATTAATTCACCAAGCCTCTTGTCTGAAGTGTGCCTTAGGGTTCCACGTGTGTCTACTCGGAATCAATCATCCTTTTATATTTCCAAAACTTTTAGTCTTTTAAGCCCATTTATTAGACTGAATAAGTTGTTACAAAACAAGCGAAATATATACAGTGGGCAAAGTAACTAATAACAACACTGATTTACACTTCACCCGTGACAATGACGACATCGGCCTTCGCGAGTGAAACCTGTTCAGGTTTTGGCTGAGAGCGCGTGACTGTGTCCGAAAAGAAAGAAGACGAGAAAAAGAAATCTCGGCGACGCGAAAAGCAAGAGAGAAAGAAGAAGATCGAGGACTGACAGTGATGGTGAACAGGGGGAACACCAGGCTGATTGTGAGCGGAACGGGCGCAACGCCAGAATGACAGCGGACGGAACGCCAGCTGAACGCCAGCGGAAGGCGAGCAATCGGATCGGACGAGACGAACGCCTTGCGAACGCCATGAACTGACTGAGAATCTTCAACTGCAAGAATTTTTACATTTATTTTTCCAGTGTTAAGACAATTTTGTTTTCTGCTAAAGTTATCGGCCATTATTATAACGAAGACACCCACTCACTCTTCGAATCAGAAGCAATCAATATAAGTGTTATAACCAGTACTCTGAGAAACTCGATATTTTAACTCGTGCTACAGGGCATTTGTTATTTCTATTGAACACCTGTCCGGCGTGTGAATTATGAATGTGGTTCACTTTAAGGTTGATTTCGGAGAGCAAAGACATTGTTTGCTGTGTGCTTGTGCTACTGCTTCCTATATCATTCGTCTTGAGTGCCTCTCAAACTTGTTTTTATGTTACTGCAATTTCTCATAATTGTAAACAAGAACTAGAGACTCTATTTTGTTATCATTCGGCTCAGTGTACGTCGTGTAGGATTATATGCAGTTACTGTACAGTGCATTGCTCTTCTGTATTTGTGTGTTTTATGTATTCATTTCCATCCAGTGTGCAAGTACCACGACCCCAAGGTTGTTTCTGGACACTATAATAAGCATATTGATTAATTGATTCCATATTTTAATTTTAATGTCAAGCGCAGTTTAATTTTGCGGATTTAATGGGAGTTCGTTAAGAAGTATTCAGGTTATGTTAGTGCTTTGGAATTTATTGGACATGTTGTATCTCAAAGCAATAACAGGCGCTCGTAATATGCAATAGCAAAATACGAACATTAAATTGACGGTACTGAATATATGTATAAAATAAATCGGGACTTTACACTCTAGAGCAACTCTAAACATGTCGAAGATACAAGAAATAGTTCTTAAACGAACCCCGTCTAACTAAAAATATTATTTAAGCAGATAAAACCTTCTACGCCATGGTACTTTCTGAAGACGCACCCTGCAATGATAAAACCGGGATCGACGTGTGTACACGCACAGAGACGGGCACGCGCCAGTGTGTTGCTTTTGCTGCCAGGTGAGCCGACCATCAGTACCGACATCTAATGGTGTTCATAAAATAATGACGTCTTTATTATATTTCAAAGCAATGTATTAAAAAAAATGAAAGGCGTTTACAACTCCCTGTAACGCCAAATGAGAGCGCAGCTCTTGAGGAGGAGGAGGAGGGAAGGGTACTGAGAGGAGGGTATACCCCTCCTCCTCCTCGCCATCATCTTTCAACCTCCTCTCTCCTCCTCCCTCTTCCCTCCCCCTCCTCCTCTTTCCTCCTCCTCCCCTCCCCCTCGTCCTCCTCCCTCTCCTCCTTCCTCCTCCTTCTCCCACGTTGCATTATGGGGAATTTCCCATAATGCACCGCGCGGGACCCTCGTAACGTCACTCGTGACCTCACATGTGACCTCACGAGTCCCGCGCGTTGCATTGTGGAACATCTCTCATAGTGCACCGCGCGGTTACGCCGACGGCGACGCCGCTCAAGCCGGAAACTGGTACCTAAGAGCTGCGCTTTAAAAGAAGTCATCTATATGTATGAGCTTTATTTATATCCTGGATCGTCTAGCATCACATATAATTTTTTTCAATCTCAAAATAGGCATAGTTACTTACTTGCGCAGGTCTCCCAACACTCCTTTGCTGTTTCAAAGCTGTTTCCGCCGTCGTCACATCCCTTAAACTGTTCACACCTTTTTGTAATTGTATTGTACCCATACTGATATGCCAGATATGCGCAGGAACTTATATTTTGTATTGGCATGCTGCACTTGTCTTGTACAAACCCTGTATATTTTTAAGCCATTGAGTAAGATATTGCAATGTTTCAGAGTCTTCACATATTATTAACACAGAGCGGACTCTAACAAAACCAACAAATACGAGTAATCCACAAAGCTCGTTTTGTTGCGGACGAGAATAAAGAAGTTGAAAAGACAACAAGAAAACAGGTACATAACTGTGCCTTTGAATTCTGTGGATTTCGCGTTGGATTTTTATTTAAACATGTTTATATCTGGTCAAACCCTCCGGTCACAATAGTGCTTCTGAGCCATGATGTAAATGGTGGCATCGCACTCTGTGCCGCATAGTTTCATATAATAGTTTGCATTGTTCATCATAAAGCGCCGTTCACACTCTTGCAACCGAGTAAGACCGACCGAGAGAGACCAGACCGGTTTATAATCTTCTTGCGACGTCTTAGGATCAGCTCCGCTGCAGCGCATCCGGTCCTAAGATGTCGCAAGAGGCTTAAAAACCGGTCTGGTCTCTCTCGGTCTTACTCGGTTGCAAGAGTGTGAACGGCGCTTAAATGTTATACTTCATACAATATTCGTTAAAGTAGTGTAATAGCCTGAACGACGCTTAAATATTACACTTCATCCAATATTCGTTAAAGTAGTGCGAAATAGTAATAAGTTCAATGCAATTTTTTTTACATTGTAATTGCTTAAGTCTTGGAGCGTCAATTTGAACTGGCTATTACTTACTGTTAAACGGTTCGAACATGCAAAATAACCAACAGAGATGGAAGAGCGGAGATTGACAATAACGAACTTAGTCACTCACTGAACTCTGACGCTGCGCAGTGCTACTATACTTCGTTTCAGCTTCGGTCCGAGCGCGGCCGATGTTATGAGCCGAAGGGCCAATCAAACAGCGAAAGAGGCAAAACGTCATGGCGTGCTTTCTGCAGTTGATAGGACCAGCCGGTATTCGCCGTTTCTCTGTGCGTGCTTCTTTGCCGGCTAGTTTTATAAAGCGCAGAGAGAGCACGCCATGACGCTGCGCTTTTTAAGCTGTACGATTGGCCCTTCGGCTCATAACATTGACCGCGCTCAGACCAAAGCTGAAACGAAGTATAAGGGCTTAAGGCCACAGCTTCATCATATGGAACAGCGCGAATTTTATAGGGACAGAGGAAGGAACTGGACAGGACGAGCGCCGACTAACAACTGAAAGGTTGATTATCAGAAAACCACGAAGAAAACATACAACAACAAGACTCTCCAATCACGAAGGAAATGCGCATGCGCCTCAGAAAATTGGGTACTTTCTGTTACACAATTCGATATGCGTCATCCCCGTTCTAAAAATTCGACCTCACTGTCCAGCAAATTCAAGGAAGCCTGACTCACGCTTGCTGGCCCCTCCTTCTTTATTCTATGAGCTTCGATAATCTCTCGAGTTTTTTGGTCTTTGCATTGATATAAAACAATGGCCTTGCTAAGTAACGGTGTACAGGCGCAGTCCCTGCAGTGTAACGCCAAGTGGGGTCAGCTCCCACTTGGCGTTACACGGCACAGGCGAAGGGTTCCCGCGTGGACGAATGGCCGGCCAGTCCTTGTCGACGCTGGAACGCATCGCTCTGATAGGCTGATATGCACCATCCGTCGTTCGACCACATTTAGAAAGAGTCGGTAGTTCGATAGCGCCTATGGTCGTACTGCACCGACGGGGACTGTGACCACTCTTTTAATGCGCAAATCGGCCGCACATTAATGTAAATTCAGCTTTTTTAGCATGCTTAGAGCTCGTAATTTGAGTTATGACTAAAGAACGAGGATGTCAATAACCACTTTAGTGAATTCTATGCGTTGCAAGAATGGCGGTCATTCCAGCTTTACCATAGCTTCCAGGAGGACGTTTTCAAGTTCAATCAAAAAATTAACTTGCTGCTTTCATTTTATCCCTTGTATGGAATAAATTACTAACTTGTAAAACTGATTTCCCGCGATACTTAGAGCACACAAAAGAAATATTCGTATAATTCTAATTTTATTGCATCACATGCCCTCGAGCCTTTTCTTCAACGGAACAACAAATATCGTTTGACTAACCGTTGTAAGTCAATATTTTAGTAATGGCAAATATCGCACAGTTAGGCAGCTGGAGCCAAAGAAAGGTTTAAAGTTAAGTGTTTGTGCATGCGTTTATACATTGGGGATTTAGTCTGCCTAAATAGCCAGCTGAACTTTCCGCTACAGATGAGAAACTTTGTCAAATAGATACTAATTATGGGTGGATTACCCCAAAAGTTACACCATTTATACGAAATTGTTTGACCCATAATACCCTTTTTATACGTTCAACAAGGTCGCTTATTAGTCACGAGAAACTGGGTATTTTTATGTATTGTGTTTATTATCAAATGGAGAGGAAAAATAAGGTGGCAGAATAAAGACTCTATTTCACGACGATTTGAAATTAATCATATTGTTTCCATCTCTAATGAATACGACCCTTCTAGAAAAAAACTAACTGTAAACTTACTTCCACATCGCCGGTTACATTCATAGAACGTTCGAAAGGCATTTCCTTCCCCGTTCGGGCACTCGGTTTTGTTCATTTCTTGACATGTAAGTGTTTTATAATTAAACCAATACCACTTGGTGTCTGTTGGTATACACCCGCTCTTAATCCCCTTTGCGCAAACTCCGAAATCTGGAACTTAATAGAAATTTTATCAGCACCCTAAACAAAATGCTCATTTAGTTGTGGGTGTTAGGAGAGGAGTGGGAGGAGTAAGTTTGTTTACAGTTGATTTCAAGCATATAAAACAAGCAAGAAAGATTAAGAAATCGGTAAATACTCAAAATGTTTTAGTTAAAAATATAACCTAAGCAGATAATTATACCAATACGATTCTCGAATACCGCTATATACTTGATAACCAAACGTTATTCATGGCATTTTTTAACCCTTTAAGTTCTTTTCTTTTTCTGTTAGGGCATCACCAATGTTTTTTGGTTTTTTTTGAGATAGAAGATATTGAATTCGAAATTAAAAAAACACCTGTTTTTAACCCATATATGATAGTAGACATTCCTCAATTGAATTCTCTTTGTGTATTTTACAATTATGTTTAGTACTTGTGTTTACAGCTGGTGGAATATCTGACATCGTGTTTCGTCCATCCTTCATTTCGCATTCTTTTTTTCTGGGAAGCACCCGTAGAGTGGTTGCTACGTCTGATGATCTTTGTGTTTCTGGCATTGTTTGCAGACCCCTCTGCGAGCAATGAACTACACCAACTTCGTTCATTTGAGCTTCCGGAGAAATGCCTTTTAGCGACTTCCGTCCTCGAAACATTGCCATGATATCTCTAAATTGAGTAGGGAAAATTAAAAGAGTGGGGTGCCATTGCTTCAAACTACCTTAGGGTATTCGCAACTCTAGGGGAGGCAACGCCACCCAGCGAAAAAGACGTAGTGTATATAAGCGGGGAGCTACCGCCTCTCCATGTATGCAGTAAAAACTTCCGCAACCTGGCGGTTAATAAGTGAAACAGAGAAATGGAGGGAGCACGCTCAAGTTTGCAGTCGCGAATAAACAACGCCTGTTCATGTATATGTGCCTCAAGTGCGTTATTAGATATTTGAGTTGAACTTTCCCTTATTCTCTTAAAGTTGGACATGCTTAAGTATTCTGCATATAATAAAATCGATTACTTTTATATTACAAGTATTTGGAAACGCGACGGTCTCTTACATTAATTATTGCAGATACGCGTCGATTTTTCCATGTGTACACACTGCTGCATAGGCTGACATCTACCATTCGGGTTTACTGATGGCCACAGGTAATGCAACGAGCAGTGTATGATCTGAGTGTCTGCCTATTTGTTAAACTGAACGTCGCTTGAAATTCATATATATGAGTCAAAATAAACTATGAAACACAATCTACATCCCATACCTAAGCTGCAAACGGTACAGTGATTTAATTTCCCCGGCAGCTATTGTGGGTGTACAGTGCTCCACTTACTTTTACACCATCGTTCGCATTCATTAGACGAGTCAAATATGTTCTTGCAAGACCCAATAGCACCATTCCATGGAATTTGGACACACTGCCCGTTGTAAGATCTGTAAGTCCACTTTTGAGAGGGTCCACCTTTCCCGGGGTTGTTTGGAGGATTTTCAAAGCAAAAACTTGGTACGTCACCTAGGATACCAAAACATATTCAATTTAACTAACTAGAAAAAAAAATATACACGATCAGTTGATTCCTTGTTTAAGTAACAAAATAATATCATATAAAATAAGATGTAGCTACACAAATGTGAGTGATAGCATAGAAATTAGCTTACCTGGAGTCCAAAATCTTGGTGACAAAACCAGATGCATCTGATGTAAAACACTGTACTCCTTAAAGTATTTTGATGTAAAGATGTAATATTTTCTGAAGCAAAATCCTTCATTTTTTGTTCATATATATATATGAATGCGGTATTAATAAGACCTTAATTATATTTGTGACCTTAGTAATGGTACTAAGCAAAAACATTATATTCCTCATCATTTTGTGGAGCTCAAATTATGGCGCGATTTATTTAGAATTATTTAACCGAGTACTGTGTAAAATATTAAATTGCACCAGACGCCTCACACCTAAGGTTGTTGCGTCTCTAAAACTACACAGCTAAACGTTGCCAATAAACGCATCTTTGTTGATGAAAATACCGAATGCATACTGGAGCGTAAAGCACACGAAGACAGTGAACTTTTTTTTTTTTAACTGGTGGAACACTTTTTTTTATAAAAGTGTCCAAAGCCACCCCCCCCCCCCTCCTTTCCCACCAAAAAAAAAAAAAAAACGTTAAAAAATTATGAGGATGGCATAGTTGGCAACCTTGAAGCATTTTTAAAATTCCTTAGTGTGGCCCTCTTTTAGAGCTCTAACACATATACCTTTTTACTCTGATATCTGTCTGTTGCTGCTTTCAGCTTATTGTCTTCGCATCAATATCTCCTATTTTTACGTCTAACATAAGAATATTTGCGAGTAAAAAAAAATATGTCGCCGAGATTGCCAATGTAAGGTATTTCGAAAAGAAAAGCATTCTGTGCTCTCGCTGCAGAACGCTGGGATTTAATCTTCCTCCGCGTCTGTCTCGCTCGGAATGAGCATCGTACCAGTGGCAAAGGTTCGTATCAAGAGCATTTATCGGTGTCGTCTTCAAAATCTTTAACACTAGCTTTTATTTTGCAGCGTTCAGAGTTCATATTTGTGCTGCAACGATGAATATATAATTGTCACGTTCACTGCCCCGGCGCACTGTCAATAACGAAGTATGATATGCTTTGAACTGAGACAACTTTTCCCATAAATATACAAGTCGGTTTGTAAATCTGGGAGTTTAACTGCTGAGCTTAGAAAACATTGACGTCACGCGACACTACGACCTCACACTCCGATGTCAAGTTATCTGACATCATGTCATGTCGTGACCACGCGGCATGACGTAAGATCGAGGAGCACAGTGTCACTGCGTAAAGTCATAAGGTCACGTGACGGGAAGTCACGTGGCAGAGTGACGCAGAAGGGTATGAACTTGGGTGAGTTGGTTGTACATTGTAGATAAAAGCGCTAAAGAACACGAGGGACAAGTAGAAGAACGGCGTGCACCGTAGAGCGACGCTTGACATGATGTCGCGTGACGTCAGGTGACATGATGACTGGGGACGAAAATGCAAAGTATTTTTGGTTATGGCTTTTATGTTCGCTATGTCAACAAATAAATATATATTTAGCCTGCATGTTTTATAAATCCTCTAAAAAATGAGGGGATATGTAATGCCGGATTCGCAACGCAGACATGCAGAATACCCGCAACTTTGGCTTCTGCGTGTGGGTTCCGATATTTATGTCCTCTTTTTCGACCAGTGGCTCAGATGTCATTGTACGCTGCTAGCCTGCGTTCTTAAACTAGTGTGTGTTAACTCGTATCGCGCTGTTGCACCATGTATTCTGTCCCAATCTCAAGCGAGATTGATTGTGGTCATCAAAGATTTATTAAGAACAACGTATGATAAAGCACAGTACCTAAAGCGGGGGCAGCCGTACTTTAACTGCAGTAATAGCAAAAGTAACAAAAAGTGTTAGAACAAATCCCCTTTCAAGTGAGGTAAGTAGTAAAATCAAATTTAAATCGCACACCAGTACAAAAATTACAAAATTACGAACATTTATGTTCATCGTACTGATTAAAGTGTTAGCGGATTTGAGCAATGGAGCTGGACAAGTGATTGCCGCCTACAAAACGAGGCCTTCGCATTACGTCACGTTTAATGTACCTTCTACTCGCTCCAAGTGAAAAGCAAGCTCCAGCTGGACCAGATTATGTGAGGAGGGAGCGTGTATATGTGTCTTTATGTTGGAGCGCACTCCGGAAAACGTATTTAAGCAATCTTCGGATGTTCTCGGAGCGATCGGTAGGCGTCGTTAACAATACGACATCATGTTATGGTGAGGCTAGAACAGGAATGTCTCAGGTCTTGTCGTGTAATTGGTATTAAATGTTTTAGCGAGTTTTCTTTTTTTTTTAAAAGCATTGAACACGCTGTTTGATGGGTCTTTGAAAGCCAGAGGGTTAGCAACATGTGACCTGTAAACCACCGCTGCCGGCTGTGTAAAGCAAATGCAACCTTAGGCAATAAAATAAAAAAAAAAACAAATGAAGAAAAGTTTTAGAAAACAACCGGAAACCGACATATTTTGCGCCAAGTGCGCGGTACAAGCCCATACTACCTAAAAGACAGGGCCTGCGCATTGCGTCATCATTGGTGGATCCTTGCCACGCCCCAAGCGACAAACGTGCTCAAGCTCAACGAGACTACGCCGCACAACGAGAGACGCGCAAAAAAACACAAAAAAAAAAACAAAAAAAAAACTACGGATTGGATGAAGGCAGACACAGACCGGTCGCTTGTCTTAGCGTCGCCGCGTGTTAGCGTCACCTTCGCAGAGAGAAGCTGCAAGGCGCCCTGCTCCGACGATAGTTAGGCGGCTCTGCGTGGACTTACTAGTGATGAAGTTTAAAGGAGATGAGTTGGGGAAGAAGATAAGGAGGGAGACAAGGAAGAAAGGAGCTGAGAAGACAAGGAGATATGAAAGACATGGAGCGGAGATGATAAGCAGAGGAGACGACAAGTACCGGCTCTTGTCTTCTAGGAGGTATGTACAGGCGGAAACATATAAAGAGCACAAGTGTGGATTCACATATATTGTATATTTCATTACACTCACGTCTGCACACTTGATTACACTGACATTGGCATGAGAATCTATTTTCGTTAGGACTTCCAACCCCTTTAAACACAGTGGGGGAGCATTTTCCGGCACTGACTTCATAGAACCATCCAACGGCGGGAATTCCGTCATTCATCTTTGGTTCGAGTAAACACACGCTTGTGTTACGCCAACGTGGGCAATCGGAGGAACCTGAAACGAGTGAAGCATTTTGTACTAAATGTAAGTTCGTAGTTTCGAGGCTTTCATAAAGCTTAAAAATCATAAAAAAGCGCAGCCAAGTTGATGAATCACCTCGATACTTCAACACATGTCAAGGCAAAGAAATATAGCAACGGACATACACGCAACACACCTCAAGACGGTGTGTGTGTGTGTGTGTGTCCGTTATTTTTATTTTTGCGTGTCTGGGGATGAAGAATGTAATTGAATAATGTTTCGTTTTTGTTGCATGTTTGTACAACTCGCAGTGGCTAGATTTTACACCCGTGGGAGCAGCGGTATATTGTTTTCTAGTTTCGACCACTTCTGGCCGCCTCTCATTGCAGCGCCATACTGCAATGCAGACGGCTGACTCCTCCCAGTATAGAAAAGCTCGCATTAGAAGCGGTATACAATCTGGGGTTCATCTTTTAGATGGATCCCGTCTGACATCAACATTATCAATAACAACGATCCTCAAAGTCATGACATATTTTTCAACAAAAACAATGTCTCTGACAGCTGGTCTCTAGCCATGTAGGGTTGTGCATACTAATGGCATAATGAAAGCTTTTTTTTACCCTTATCATTTATGGTATTTTAAATATAAGGTTATCAAACTATAGTTCACGAACAGCGAAAGTACAGGAGGTTGTATTCAATAAAAGGATCCATCTATCTACATCTGTCTTCAGTGCAACCTATCAAATAAGTCATTCGATGTACCTACGGGTTTCGAACTGCAGCAACGCGTGTTGTTGGGCAAACTGGGAAACTCAAGCGAAAACGCTCACATTAAAAGCCCTTAAAAATGCAGCATCTACTTTTATGCGTATAGTCCTTTTGTTTTTAATGCGGAATATGGGGGGCTGTAGTTATTGTTAACAGTTTACGCTTGAGAGGCGCATTAATAAACGCTATATAAAGCTTATATATTCTGCAATGAGTACAAGCCTTGATGTTATAAAATTGGTTTACCTTTCGCAGCAAGAGCGAGGACCAGTGTGATCTTGAGCAGCATATTGCAACGTCTGCAGGATCGTCAGAAGTAGAGCCTTTATGTAATGTTTGAAAAATGACAGCGTCTATGGAATGTGCATTTCCTGTATATGACGCATATCACGACGTACGAAGGCAAATACCGAAAAATTAACGTTCCAACCACATGTCAACGGAAATAGGAAATATACGCTTTCAGCACTTCGCAGCGGCTGCTTACGTAACACGATTTCCGTGTTCCGGATTTTTTTCATGAATATTTTACATTATTCTTCGTTTTAAGTTTTTCAACATCATTTAAATTATTTCCACTGATGCACGCACTATAATTATTTTCTGAATGCAAAGAAGCAACACCGAAAACGAACAAAACATACTACAGTATTTCCTTCAAATATAGAATAAGAGCTGCCATTAAATTTTCGACCGTCCTAAAAAACTTGAGAAATAAAGTATATTTCAATATTGCGATAGGAATGTAATTATGTATGCCTGCATACTGGGTGTTTCAGCGAAGACTGTCATTAAATTTCTAATATTAATGTATTCGAAGTAAATGAATAATTTATTTCGGGACCGCATTAATCGGGATGGCGGATATCTGAAAATGCGCGATACTTACTAATTACTTTTAATTATTTAAAAATGGCTAATTACCTATGAATTTGTAGAGATGGACATATGGCTTTAACTGGAAACTTGCCGAGCCTCATCGAAAACCACTAAATCATTCATTTTCATAAAGACTTTGAGCGTGCCAGAAGCGTACCTGCTTCTGGCACGCTCAAAGTACCTGCTTCACAACTCGTGAAGCAGGTACAAAGTTAGAAGTGCCACAAGGCGCCCGCGCGATTTTTTCGTCCCTCACTAGAGCTCTACCCTTGTACTTGCTGCGCGAGTAAAAATTTCAGCGCGCTACTGCGCTTCCGATGTGCTCGAAATCTTTATGAAAATTACTGATTTAGTAATATTGCCACGTGCGCCGCCGAGCGAGCGCTTGCGTGGCCAAATGATTACTGCGCTTTGCTGTTGCGCGGAGGGCCTAGGTTCGATTCCAGTCGTCGAAATGTTCTTTTATTTATTTTTTTAACTTGGCGTTCTCGTAAAACTTGAGAACATTCTCGACTGATCAAGTTCCGAATTTTCTACACGCCAAACGTTCTACGCCGAATGTTCCAGAAACCCACGCGGGTACATAAGGGACTCCGCGTGGCGAGCGGAGTCAGTCTCGCTCCAGTCTTCGATCCTGCTGTTACGCCGGCTTCGACGCCCTCGACATTCTGTTGTTATCCTCTGTTTCCTTTTGTTTTGAGCACAAGTTCGCCCCATTAAACATTTTGATTTTCTCAGTTATTCTTTGTTTCGTCACCTCATCATTCGTGACCATTCGGTGGAGGTGCGGGGAAATGCATGTCCCTGCAGCGTCCTCCTCCAATGGCCCAACAGTGCAAGTCCGACGCCAAGCCCACCAAGATCCAACGAAGGCACTACCGAGACTCGATTAAGTCGTCGCACTGAAGGCCTACACCCGGAATTTAGACTTTTGCCACCCAAAACCAAGTAGCCAACGAGTTCGACGATAATCACCCAGACGTCAAAGACATCGCCCGCCGCCGCCGTGGTATACCTGCCCGTCGCACACCGTACTCCGACGCCTTTCGACGGGGAGGTTCACGAGGATATTGAAGACTGGCTGCAACACTATGAAAATGTAACCCGCCAAAACGGTCGGACGACTGAGCAGTACCTCGACAACCTTTACTTCTCTCTTTAAGGCACTGCTAGTCACCGGTTTTAAAACCATGAAGCCTCCTTCACTTCATGGGAGCCCTGCGCTGCCGAATCGAAGTGGACTTTCATCAACCACCACCGTCGGCAGCGGGCAGAGGCCCGTCTTCAAACAAGGGCGCAGGGCCTCAATGAAAGGGTAAGGAGATCTGTTGAAGATGTCCTGCGTGTGAGTGCCCGAGCCGATTCGGAGGCCGCCGAGGAGAAGAAACTTCGCGTCCTCATGCGTGGCGTGAAGGGTGAAATGTTAGGAGGCCTGGTTCGCAACCCGCTGAGGACCGTCAACGCTTTTGTGAGTGAAACCACCAACATCGAGCGCGCACTGACGGCCCGAGCAAGACACTTCCAATGACTCACCGGCGTGCCTAATACTTCAATCGTCGCAGCTTCTTTACTGGACCTGAATACCACCGTTATCGACAACTCCGCAAGACCTTTCCCCGACGTGAACCTCCAGCGCCGCAGTACCCCCGACGCCAGGAAGATCGGACGTACGTTCGCCTAGAATAAGCTTCGACAAGGATGACCGACGTTTGGCGGCGTCTGACAGGCACTAAAATGAAAATTTTAAAACAATTCATGTCACTAAAATAGACCATTTAATGGATGACACACTCTGGTGCACGTAGTAGCAGAAAAAAAAAAGTATTTTGTTCGCTCAATGCCGCAGTCTTCATTCACCATTCCGTCGAACATTTTGAACCGCTCTATCTTTCGCCTCCAACCACTGTGGTTCGAGCCCAAAAGATGAGAAACCCATTAAAAACAAATCGTACAGCCTTAGTGTAGACCGATTCAAGTAGATTGTCATATTTTATTGCGAAAGCATTAATGCCCCATGGAGTGAGCCGCCTTCATCACCCGTGCCAAACGGCAGATAATTTCGTGAAGCTGCGATTTGAGGCCTCCCAGCCCCGCACAAAAATTCACGCAAAATGGCAAGTAAATCAAGCCGAAGGAGGCCGTTCCATGTCAATTTCAATCAGCGCCACCCCATGGCGCTGCGTGCCCGCGCTCATCCTCAAGGAGTTGCCGCGCGTCCCTGACATCGGCCGTGCCGCCGACGACACGGCCGATGTCAGCGAGGCGCGGAAACTCTCCGGGGACGCGCGCAAGAACGAGATTCATGCTTTCGCATTCAAAACTCATAAGAAATGCTTAGGTGTACCTCGAGCCTTTTTTTTTTTTTCTTTAAATACGTATCCCATACAGCAGATCTGTACTCTAGGGTAGGCATAACACGGGTTCTTTAAGCGGTTAGTTTGACTTCCAAGGCGGGGCATTTCAGAGTGCGTTTGATATATTCGAACTTCTTAAGGGCTAGAGAGCAGATGAAGTCGACATGTTTATCCCATCTAAGATTAAGCGTAACGGAAACCCCCATGTACTTAAACTCGCGAACTTCGTTTAAAAGTACATTATAAGTACCATAAATAAAAACAAAGGCGATTTTTTTATTTGTAAATCTCATAAAAAAATATTAAAGTTTAAATTCATTTGCGATTTGCTACTCCAATTAATGAAGTGCACGAAAGATTTGTTAAGTAAAGGGTGATTGTTAATGGACGTCATGTCATTGCACAGAACGCTGTCATCGGCAAGGAGGCGAATATTAACCGGTATGTGTTTTACTGCATCATTAAAATACAAAATAAATAATAGAGGACCTAACAGCGGTCCTTGCGGCACACCTGAACTAACCGAAGCCTCCGAAAAGATCCAACCGCAATTGAAACAAACTGTGACCTGTAAATCAGGTAATGGGAAATCCAGTCTAGTAAATGGCTATTCTTAAGCATGGCTTAAAACACCAATGGTAACTTGGAGTACGATACATTATCAAAAGCCTTTGGATAATCAATAAAAAGGCCGTCAACTTGCCCTCTGCAATTCAAGGAAGAAACAATGTCACGAGTGAATTTCAGAAGTTTCGAAGGGGTGAAAAAAGTCGGCGAAAATCATGCTGTTGAGGAGAGAGAAATGAATGTCCTTCAAGATACTCGGAAACGTCTGTACATACCTTTTTTAAAGCCCTGCATATCCGCGGATATCCACCGTAAACTGACAGATGCGGATAATAATGAATTAGATTTGGCGGATTGTGGTTCGGATGCGAAAATCCGCGGGTCCGTCTCTACATTTGTGCCGAGGCGGCCCATAAATGTGTCAGTCCACACAGTGTAGACTGAATAGGTGTATTATACTATGAAGTACATCACCTAATATATTGCGGGAGCAAGCTACTCTTTTAGAAAAAAAGGTGCCAATCGGGGAAAACATTGTTCTTTACGTCAAGAACGATGTGATTCTCACCAAAGATCGCTTTAGAACGTCCTATCTCGCCAAAAACGCTTCCCATGCAAGACGTAAAGGCTGTAGGAGCATCAGTTGCCCCGGTAAAGCGTGTTCTTTTTTGGCGGAGAAAGAGTAGAAAACGTTCCTTGGGCAAAGAAAACCCAAAATGTACGAGCCGCAAGAAATTAGAAACCTGCAAGTGGATTCTTCGCCAACAAGTAAATGGAGGAAACGTTAACCAGTCCTTTGAAGTGGTGTGACTTGAGCCAGCACTTGTTTCGCACCTAATTCTAGTAGCGCTGTTCGTGCATGTCCCCCCCCCCCCCCCCCATCATCAAGTTCACCAAAGGTTGGAAATATCTGATTAGAGGAACTAGTCTCAACCCATCTGAGTTGACTTTATTCTGTTTCTTCTACACAGCAACCTCGGCAAGTGAAACGTTGTGTGTGTGCGTTTTCTATTTCTCGACAGTTGGCATTGAGTTCTTTTTAAGTATATGGTTCCGAGCATGAATTTGAGGGTTTGTGTCTAAAACTGAAACCGATAAGAGGTGTCAATATTGAATATTGTGACATTTCCCCAAAGGTTTACTCTCTTTTTACCACATATACGCAAGTAGTTTGCTGCGGTGAACAAGCGTCTTTGCCCTCCCACTTTGTTATTGTTTGGCCCATGCGGCGCATTGTTATTAGTCTGTCCTTTATTAATGTTCATGTTTATAAAATATGCGTCTGCTTGAAGTGGGTTTTACAAAGCAAAACAAAAAAAATACATTTTTTCCCCTTTTGAGCGCGTTTTTAGGACAGCGTGTCAGGGTCACGGACTCCCAAGACAGTCTCATAACTGCCATCATCCTTCCAGCGACGCGAACTGTCACTGGAAAAAATGATCGTCTATTTTATAAATACGATGAGACAGGATACGATCCAATGACTTTC